TTTTTTTTTTTTTTTTTTTTGTAGATTTTGTCATCAAAGAAACAGCTCGTTGCATTGTATTTATTATGATTTTTTTTTCTTTTTTGGCATTAAATAATGCCAATAATTTCTGTTCACCGCTTGTCAAAAAAAATTTAGTTCTTTTGAATAAGACCTTATTGGTTTTATTTGGATTTAAGTACCTATTTGATTGCTGAAAATCTGTAGCTGAAGATTTTTTTTTAATTTAATAGGTTATCAGCAGTAATTTTTGTTCATTAAGCTATATACAAATCCATTTGCTCTGAATAGCTTAGGAACTAATAAATCTTATGGCCGCTCTTTAGAGCTAAAAAATTGCATCTTAGCAGATTTGTTGTTTGTCGATAACTATTGCAGTAGTCGTCATCCTGTTGATCTATTGTATTCACCGCAGATTCTCCAGATTCGGGTTCCATAGTGTTTATTCTGTGTTAATGTATTTTTATACATGTCTCATATAGGCAGCAGCTTCGGCGAAGCAGTTGTTCATTAAAAAGTATCATTTCTTTTATTGTTTTTTTTCTTTTGATTCACTTAATCTGTACAGACATAATTCTTGTCCTTGTTGCCACCACTTTTACAGCTTTGTTCAGTCACTTGCTAATCTCTATGGACTCATCCTTTTTTTTCAAAATGTCTTGTATTAAACAGTAGCAACATCAAAAGCATATGAGTCGCCTATTTACTTTTTATACTTTATTGTTCTTTTACTTTATATCACTTTTTTCCTTATCGAAATAGAATTCTGATTGTTAGTGATCATTGTTCATTCCTCGTGCACATTCGAGGTTGTTTTTATTCACGGTAAATTGCTTTGACGGGCTCGGGTTTATTTATTTGCTCCCCTATCTATGTTTCGCAGTCAACTGTAACTTGAACTTTTCAATCTTCCCCCTCTGATTTTTCGAAAAAGAAGGGAGATCTTGATTTTAGAGTTTGTCAAAGCAAACTGTGCGGCTTTGACAGTTACAAATTCAGTTCCTGAACTATGTATTTATATGGAGCGGCTCTTTGTAATTATATGTGCACATAAGTGATAAATTCTCAGCTGTCGGTATTTTTTGCGTTTTTAAAGACCCAAAATATTATTATTTTTTCTCATAATTAGCTTTTTTCGTCTATTCAGTTTTTTACTACGAACAAGAAAGGAAAAAGAAAAAAAACAAGGAAAGACTTTGAAAAAAAAAAACATTTGCATTTTCCATTCTGCACATCTGAGTTAAGAGTAATCTCTTTGGCGAAGTTCGGGTTCAGTAAAAATTGTTTCTTTGTCGTTGAGGTTTGACTGTTCGTGCTATTATTTTTTCAACCTGTTCCCTCGTTGACAGTCCCCGTCTTCCGGAACCCGCATGTGACGCAGATTTCTTCCACTAATCACATTTCTGACTGATTCATCTCATAGTAAAGGCCTTTTTGTTCCATTAGTTCTTGATGAGTTCCTAGAAGTGACAAATATTACCAAAAGACACTATAGAACTAAAATGTTTTATCCGTGCATCACGAACACTGTACCTTGTTCTGCTATCTCGCCATCGACTAGAACAATAATTCGAGTTACGTTACGAATTGAAGACAAGCGGTGGGCAACTGCAAAGAAAACGTTTATAGGCTCTACTGACGGATTAATTCCTTTCCAACAAAAAAGTATGGCTTTGTAATTTGAAAACTGGAGCATAGGAAGCGCAGGTTCTGTCTTTAAACATTATTGTTAAATTCGAAACAGACAAGAAGCTTACCATGGATACAAGTGCAGTTTTTGCTTGCCGACTCCAGAGCGGCTTGCACGGCCTGAAAAAAAGGACGGATATAAATTCTGCTTTCTTGTTAGCTATGTCTGGAATGCAGAGCTGTAAAATACCTTTTCACTTGCAGTATCCAGAGCTGCAGTAGCTTCATCCAGGAGCAGCACTGTTGGGTCTCTGATCAAAGCTCGAGCAATCGCTATGCGTTGCTTTTGACCTCCAGAAAGCTGCGTACCGAATTCTCCAACTTCTGTATCGTAACTCTAAAATGTCATAACGGCTTGGTGGATGATATAAATTAAATCAAATATCAAGACCATGAAGGCGGTAAAAGCTATGCAGGGTGCCACTTGCTCACCTGAGGTAGTGAAATAATAAAATCATGAATATTTGCCATTTGTGCAGCTTTAATTATTTTTTCCTGAGTGGCTTCGTCTTCTGGCAAACCATAACCTGTAAAATCTTACTTATTTCGACAATTTTGAAAATAGGTCAATTTTGGAAATGTCGATAAGCCACGGTTGATCAGCAAAGCATAGCATTTTCACTTGTGAAACTTCGGGGGATAATGCTCTGATAATAGTCAATATTCACTAGAAAGTGAAGGGTCATTATTGATCAAAACTTGGAAGCGAAACATTTGCTTTAAAAGTGTCCAACCAATGTTCTCCCTGATAGTGAACGAGAATAGTGTTGGTTCCTGTTCAACGGATACTACCACCCTTCTTAGATAAGCCGGATTTAGTTGACGAACGTCATACTTATCGTGTAGCTAAAAAACGGCAACAATACTCTCCTGCTCCTTTTTTGTAGTACCAGCAATTAAAATCAAAATTTCTGGACATCCTACCACTTGTCCACTTGTTGCAGTATACATTCGCTGAAGAAGTGATATAATGGAACTTTTTCCAGAACCAGATGGGCCCACTATTGCAATTGACTCTCCTGGAGAAACCTGGAAACAGGCTGTTGTTAAGACATTGAACTGTCCGAGGAAAGGCTGGAAAATTTCCATATCAAACTGTTCACCTTGAACGTAAGATTTTTAAGGACCGGTGCCAAAGGCCGAGATGGATATCGAAATTCGACATCTTTTAGGGTCACACGCCCAGAAAGTTTCTATAAACTTATACATTTTGAAAACATCTGGAACGTGTTGTTTAGTGTGAATTAAAAATTGTATAAGAAGTGTAACAGCAACAAGAATGTACCGGCCGGAGCCCTTCATCGCTCAGATTATTCATATCAACTGCTTTCTCCTTAATGACGTTTAGGATGTGCTTCGAAGCAGTTTTCGCCTTCTTTATGTCATTTACTGACGCTATTAGCTGGCTAATAAAATTTGCTCCAAACTGCGTCAATAGAACGACCCTAAATTTTATACGTTATAAAAACTGCACAACGTGATCAGCTCTAAAATTCGAGTGGGTTTCTGTAGAAAACAGTTTCTAAACGAGAGAATGGTAGAAATTTGTATATTTGCCTGCCGGTAAGGCAACAATGTTTCTGCATTTGAAAGGGGAGATAAATCTCACGTTCAACGAGGAAGCTCTACACAATTATTCAAAGAGGCAAACCTGAGGTAGTCAAACGGAGTGATTTCATTACTTAACATCATTATTTTACCAAAGTGTAAAGTGATAGCAATTAGAATATAAGTAAAACTGAATTGACAGGCAAATACAAAAGCGCTGATGCATGACTGACGTTTCATAGTCCTGAAATCATTATACTCTATTCAAACTTACATCTCGTTAATATACCCCTTTTCTTACAGAAAGTAGTAATTGCAAGCCATAATAGTTTGCTGCGATAGTTACCTTTGAAGTGGCTTTAAAGCGTTGTAGAAAAGCTTATTAAAATGTTCCTGAAGGGTGTAAGCTTTGATCGTGCTCATATTTGACAAGACCACAGTGGCAAGCTGAAGAAAGATTTATTCGAGCGAGACACATAGAAATAACGATTTCAGACAGAAAAAAGTTATTCAAAAAACTATTATATGAGGATTTGCTCGTTAAGCTATCTTTAATGTACTGTCAAACTTACATCTGCAGCCTTTTTTTCCTGCTCAATTATTTGGTGCTGTCTTTTACTGGTCTCGCTGATTTCCACATAACGAAACAAACAGAAAGCTGGAAATTGGAAACCACATAATAGTGCCACCTTCCAGTTAATAATTAATGCCAGAGTCACAGAAACCAAGGAGCATACTATGGCTGGCAAAAGAAGATCGACTTTTTCTCCAAGTATCTGCAAGCTTAGTGAGCCAGTCACTTCAAACAGCATTATATATACAAAATTCAAGCAGTATTTTAAATTACCTTTCTGAGTCTAGTCCATAGACCTACAATGTCAACTTTCAACTACTCTTTACTAAAAGGAGGTTCAAAAAGCACATAATTCATTTTGAATCCCTAGCTGACTCTTACCCGGTTTAAGGTTGATGTATCATTGACCATCATGTAAACCAATCGTCCTGGTGTGTTTCTTTCTTCATCAAAGTAGGCTGCACCATGCCGTAATATTTTGCGGAACATTTCACTCCTCAAATGTCCACTAAAACCATGTCCATACATGGCAACAAACAGACGCTAAAATTCGCGATATGGATTGGTTAATATTAATAAAAGCAGTACGGCAACTAAAAACTTTTTCTATCTTATTCAAAACTGGTTAGAAAATTTTGCTTACTCCGACAGCTTCAAACATTGTTTTAATGATAATCAATGCCGTATATACAGCTGCTGTAATAAATACTTGTTGGGCCATCTCATCGCTGGGTGCTAAAGCGATCTAAACAGTTGTGAATAACAGTGGTTTCCTGTAGTAAAAGCTGACGAAGAAAGCAAAAATGAGTATTAGTAGGCAATTAAACCTTTCCGACCTCAACTTTAGAGCTACAAAACAATTTATAATTTAAGAAGTCATGTTGTACCTCAAGCACAGATGCGACTTCAAAACAGACGAGTAGAAAGAAAACACCTCTGAACACTGTTATTGGTATTGCGATCGCCAGATGCTTGTAGCCAGCTTTATAACTCCTAATTAAATGCCACAGTGCCCGAAAGTTGATGACACTACCAGGCAGCTGGAGTGGTTCAATATCAATTACGAGCAATTATAAGTCTTATCCAGCCGTGAGTATACTTTTACACTAACACTGGGAAAGACGAAAAAACTAATACAACTAACCGTATTATCTTCATCAAAATCTTTTTCGTCTACTGCCACTTCCATGATATTTCGCTGAAAAGCATTTGTTCGCTTTCTTGACATCACTGGAAGTGCTAGCTTCTTTCCATCCGTACTTAAAACAGAGTACGATTTGCCGAGCCGTTTATTAGCACCTAACGATGAACGGGCCCAAGCACGACGGTAGGTTTCTGGATCCTAAAAGTGAATTGCAGGAAACTAGACTTTTTGGGGAAACTATTAACTAAAACTTTAAATTAGCTTCTGTACAAAAAAACTGGTTTTATTGAAACTATTCATACCAAAAAATCCGCTTGTGTCATTGAAAAGTGTTGGGCAAGAGCAGCCTTCTTGACTGGTGGTACAGGAATGTTATCTAACTTCTGATCATTATACATTTTGAAAAATTTTCCGTCTTTTTTCTCAAGAAGTTCTTCTGGACTTCCTTCTTCGACAATTTTACCACTTTCAAGCACAATAATTCGGTCTGCATTACGCACCGTACTAAGCCTAAACAGTGTTACATAGCATTTGCATTCACCGTTTCAAACTTCTAGTTACAGTTTTGAAAGTTTTATATGCAACTTTAGCTGAAAGTAAGTTTTAGACCTATGAGCAATTGTTATTGTCGTATTGCCAACACTAGCTGCATCGATCGCTCTTTGGACTTCTACTTCATGTTTTGTGTCTAGAGCGGAAGTAGCTTCGTCAAATATAATTACAGAGGGCGATCTGATGACTGCACGGGCTATAGCAACCCTTTGTTTCTGACCACCAGATAGCTGCGCTCCACTGAAAATGTACAATAAATAAATAAGAAATTTCAAACAAAACTTTAATAAAAGAATATTCATCCTAGTAAGCAGCACTGAAACATTAGAACGTACCGATCACCGACCCTGGTCTTCATTCCTTCCGGCAAAGCACAGATGAACTGCCAGGCTTCTGCTTTACGAGCGGCTTCATTTACATCAGCCTGAGTGGCATCCAACCTTCCATATCTTATGTTATCGCTAATTGTTCCTGAAAGCTTCTTGAAAACTAATAATGTCAAAAAATTTGAAATGAAATTTCATTTTTTCCACTTAAATTGATCAATGCCACGTGTAAAGCCAATTCTCACGTTCTTTAAGCTGTGGGTAAACAACTAACTAAACTCCTGAAAACTTGAAGTGTATTGAAACTGTACTCTATATATGTATGGCAACAAAAATTTGTAAACAGTAGCTTTTGAGTAAACATAAAGGTGCTATTAACTGCAAATGGAATAAATAGGTGACGCTAGATTAGAGTTCATATAACTAAGACAAGTAGAATCTTATTTACAAACATTGTTAAAGCTAATGGATACCATCGAACAGTACAGGCTCTTGGCTAACCAATCCAAGTTGAGCTCGTAATACATCTGGATTCATGTCTTTAAGATTTGCATCATCCAAATACACCTAAAAAACTGGCTGTTACACCGCTTTTTGAAGTTTAAAATACACTACAAAAATAAAAGCCACTAACCGATCCGCTTGTTGGGTCGTAAAATCTCAGCATCAAAGCCGTCAAAGTACTTTTACCAGAGCCGCTGGGACCAACAATGGCGAGATGTTCACCGGATTCAACACTAAAAGATATCCCTCGCAACACCTAAAGTACACTTCAGTAGTATTTTTAACTGCCGTTGCATGTTTTTCACTGTTTGTCACATTGAAAACAACGAACTTCTCATTTTCACCCCTCCAAAAAAATTACCGGTAATTTCTTAACTGACCTCAATTTCTGGACGACTAGGGTATGCAAAATGAATATCTTTGAATGTAATTTTTCCTCTCCTTTTCGCCTTTTTGCTCACAAAACATCCGTTGTGCCGTTCTGTGTAACACTCAATCACTGGTGATTCTTGGAAAAATTCATTCATTTCCATTGCATTTTCCCGAGCATTTGAGGCACCATTAAGGTGAAAACCGATGCTAATAGAAGTAACGCACATATATAACATATTGATCGCTAACTGAAACGTGAAGCGTTAGTTTTTTTCATCATTAACTGTCGTTAAAACTTTATCTAATAAATGTTCAAATCTGAAATCACCTTAAATGACGTCAAAATATGCGTGTGACTACTTAAATTTAGACAGTTTTACAAAAAAAAGGTTTCCAAAAAAACGTTTAACAAAGTTAACCTACAGCAGCAAGTCTTCCAGGATTTTCGCTTCCAACTCGCCACATACCATAACATAAGGCGGCAGTAAAAATGAGTTCTGTTAGAAGAACCTGAAAAGAACTTAGGTGATAAAAGTTTCAATGTTTAAAGCTATATTGAAGCTGCTCAAATACAGATATAAAACAAATAATCATCAAATTACCTGAGCTAAAGCATCGTAGATAGACGATGCTGTCAATCGTTGTTCAGTCATCAAATTGTGCTCCTTAGTTAACCTTTCGTACCTTAACCGTTTTTTGTGAAGTGATTAAAGTTATCCATCAGATATATTATCTTCTGTTGTGTTTAATTAAAAACAAATCTTTTTTTAAAGATTTTACTACAGCAGATTTACAGAACGTTAATAATTTTGATGGCTGACTTGCTAATGGTTTGTCGTTGAGCAGCAAATGCAATTACAGTTCTGATACAAGAGAACGTCTCTTGCACTAAATTAGTCATTTTTGCTAACAGTTTTTGTTCGTCATCCGTTGTTCGGCAAAACCACTAAAAATGTGCGAACAATTTCTTTGAACATAGACTTAAGATTATATAAAAAGTGTTCTATGCTTTTAATAATTAAAAATAAAAATTTTAAATTTTAAGAAGCAGCATAAAATAACAGTTGACTGAAGTAAAATAAGAAATTACTGTCGGTCTTTTTCTTTTTGGTAAAAAAATGCCATATGTCAGCATTGAAAAAAAGAAGCAAAATTTTATCTTTATTTTGCTAGTAATTAAAACTGCTCATTTTTTTGACTGTGACAAAGAGACGCTTTTTATCCTTTTTTTTTTTCACCCTAAAACAGAATGTAAAAGTTAACGAACTTTACTGAAAATTAATCGTGTAATGATCAACAACGGTAAAGCAGCAAACATGACAAGCGTGACGTCCCACTGAATGTAGAAACAAACAGATGTGGAAACTAGGAGGTAGGCAAAAATGAACACGACCATTGGAAAGTGGTCAGCAATCCCTTCATAAATTGCATCTGCGTGACTGTAAGATAGCTTCTTCAAAAAGGTTATCATAATGAATTGTTGCTGATTTTGGCAGTTAAAAATCCGTATTAAGATAATGTCAGTGAAAGTTCAAGAATATAATACCAACAGATTGACTACTTAACAAGTTTTTTTCTTCCTTCCTTACGATTATTTATCATTTTACAGCAAACTGAAAAGTGCCCAAAAAATAGAGTAATAAATAGCTTACTGATGAAGCATAGAAGCAACTTGTCCTGATCGCCGAGATTCCAGCCATGATACATCCATATTCAGAAGCTTCCAAATGTAACTCTTTTTAATGCGAATAACTTGCCGTATACCGCAAAATTCCCATGCAAGTCGCTAAGAGTAGCAAAAATTTATTGATCATGATGCAGAATTGACTAAACATTTTTTTCTTTTCCAAAAGTTCAAAAAAAATTTATTTCCCATGTTTATAGTTTTTAGCTGTTTCGTTTTCATTACCGTCTTACCGGTAACAGTTTTATTTTATAAAGATATGGTTCAAGTGTTGATAATATACTTCACTGTAATTTCAACCTGCTCTTGATTAACAAATAAAAAAACAAAACTTCTACTACCGTAACTTTACTGTAGTTAATAATACCTGTAAAAAAGCGGCGATAAATGTTAGAACTGAAAGTGTAAGCATAGCTATAAACACCGGAGTTGCAGAATCTTCAAATTTGTCATCAACAACAGATTGATGTTCTAACAGCTGCTCGTAAGATTCATTAAAAAAACTAAACTCCTCGATATGAATCTGTTGAATGTATCGCGTCTTATTCAGCTTTGTTTCCTAAAAATCATTTAAATTAGAAGCATCTGCTTTAACTTATTTGTAGCTACTATAACTTTAAATTAAATTTCACTTATTTCTTCGCTTTTCATTTCTTTCTTTTACAACATTTAAACATGAAGTTTTATCAGCAGTAAGGTTGCACTCACGATACCTCTCTTGTGATTGCTAAAGAAATGAAGTCGCCCATAATAAGCCAAACAAAAGGTGGTAAAACAGCCTGTACTAATGAGAATACGACACCAGCTATCATCAACTAAAATATGTTTAATTTTATTACTAGATATTACTAGAAACAGATTAGTGTAATAAATCTTTTTTGTTACAGGAATAAAACTGCGAATTTTTGATTGTGACTAAAAAGTTATATAAAAAATGTCTGTTGAGAGAAGAGAGAAGATAAAAAAATTATAAACCTGAACATCCACTCTATCGGCAAAGCTATATAAAACTTTGTAACTTCTCCATGTGCTGCTTTCCCCCTTCATTTTAAGGTTGCGATTTAGTTGAAAGGTTTTCAACTTGACAAGCTTTTACATACCTTTGCGGCTTAACATATATAAATTCTGAAAGACCAGAACAAATGAAACTTTACAAGCAAATAGCTTGATGAAACACGAATTAGCGCAATTAACACAAACGATGATCAATTAAACACAGCGCCTTTTGTTCAATTTTTTTACCTGGTAGTTTAGTTCTCTACAAAGAACATCGACTATATGATTGCTCAATTTTGGTTGAAAAAAACTTTAAAATGTTGTTCAATATACACTGTCAGACAAATAGTGAATGATATATGCAGTTTAACAATAAAAAAAAGGAAAAAAATTTAGGACTTTGCTGGGACTATAGCAAAACGCCTTGTACACCGTTTTTTTAACAATAATTATAAAAAAAAGGAACTGAAACCTATCAGAGAAGATGAAACTTAAGTACAACAAATATTTATCATTTTTCAAGAAATTAGAGAAAGAAAAAAAAGCTACTATTAAATAGACCAGAAATTTGTGCGCTTGAAGTTAATTAAATTTACATCTTAATCAATAGTGCAAAAACACTGTTAAGCTATGTTTTTTTGAGCAAAAATACAATTGACATACCAAATTCCATTTGCCGATTAATTAGTGCAAATGTTATTTTGCAATCTGCTAACAGCATTTAGTGACTGTTAATGAACAGTAGCAGCAACAGTAACTTCTTAAAACAGGTTTTGTGAATATGATTGTGGTTTTGAAGAAAACATTGAAGAATGTGTTATTCAATGAGTGCTCTCAACTTTGATGAGCCACCACTATCTTTGAAACATGACAATTTTTAAGAAAAAAAGAATTGGATAATTTTACGAAAAAATGTCATACTACACAAAAAAAAAAATATTTTTTTTGCACATGAAAAAGCTAAATTTATTACTGTTAACATTAACTTAGAGTTTTTTTGGTGCTTATCAGTTGAAAATACTGCGAAGAAAAAGAAAGAAATCTATAAAATTTGCTAGTTTTACTCATCCTCTCTCTATAATAATTTTAACTAATCAGAACCATTTATCCAAGATATACAACTAAACTGAGAGCCAGTTAGGAATAAACAGCGTCAGCATGTTCAATAACCATTTCTGTTTTACTGAATATACAAAAAAATAAAAAAAAAATTATTGTACAAATTTTTTTTTTTTTTGCCAATACCAAAAATTATTAAGGCATTGTTGAAAATACCAGTTTACCCAACAGCAATGATCAAAAAGGAGAAAAACGCTGCCTTATGATCCTAAGATAGGATTAATGAAACGAAGGTATTTGCAAACCAGGTAATCCAGAAGAATACAAAGTAAAATAAGAAAAACAATTAAAAAAAACCAGGAACGCATCAAACTAAGACAGAGACCAATTTGAAAGGACAGAGGAGGTAATGATGGAACGAGCATCGGAGGGAGTTTGAAGAACTCCGACAACCAACTAATAACATTCTTCAGTAAAAGAGGTTCATCACTTCTCAATTCCTAATTTTTTTTTTTCTTCTACTCCTTCCGTCTATTATATTTACTACCAGGCGTCAAGTTAAATTTGTTGTCATTGCTGCTGTAGAAAACAACGTTAATTGTAATTTTTATTTTCTTCTCTAAAAAAAATATTTATCCAACAGCAAACATATTGTAACGATATTTCGTCATTTACGGTTAATCATTAATCTCCTAAAAGTGTCAAGCAATTTTTTTTATTTTAGACCAATATCTGCCAACATTATTGCATTTCCGGCTTGACCAAATCTGCGTTTTCTTTTTTTTTTTCACAAATAAATTTAGCAGAACGACAACTGTAAATCAACTGAACCACGAAAATCGATCGGCAGAAAAAGAAAAAAAGGCAATGGAAAGGTAGCGGCCTTCTGTTGACGATATGCCCCGCGGGTATTGCAATAATCTATCTTTTTTTTTTCTTTTTAACTGATGAATATAGAAAAGTTGGACATAGGTGGCATGAAGAACAAAGGCGCTTCAGTGGCAAAATGCTGATGTCTGGACATGCTTTTGAAACGTATCAATGGGCTTACTGAACTTATTTGCAAAATCGCCAAAAAACTGCGATAAGAGATGTTGAAGCTACCTAAACGGTGGTTGCAGCAAAAACCAACAGTTTTCAAAATCTAAGAATGATGACGAATTTGTCAAAAGAAAAAATATATAATATTTCGAAAACGACACTAAAATAGCAAAAATTTTTCTATTAAAATAGGCATGAGTATTATAGAGGCAAATAATCATAAATACTGCAGAAGTTTTTTCTGTTTCTTTTTTTTTAAATAAAAATAACTCTTTTCAATATGTGTAAAAATAAAAACTGAAAAAAATTTTTTTATGGAAAATGACTTTCTTCTCAGCTTTTCTAATTTTCTTTCCTTTCTTTTTGTTTCCTTTTTTTTTTTTTTCCAAATAACTATAAAGTGACAAATGTTAAAATAGCAGAAAATATACTACCAAATAATCACTACGATCTAACCATATTGGCGCAATCTTTCTTTTTTTTTTGAAAATTTATCTAAAGATTCCCAAAAATAATATATTTAATCGTATTATTTTGAGAAAAAAAAAGTAATAAATAAAAATTAAAGAAGAAAGAAGAGCGATGACGACAGTAAATTAAATCCAGTTGTTCAATACGGAATAAAAATATGATCAAAATATTACGTTAAAACTGGTAGGACCTATAAAGCAGCTGAAGATGAATTAAGCAACGTTTGTATACTGGCCAAACCAAAAAAACCAATTAACTATCGCTATCACCAAATTTACCACAACCACCGTCACCATTGTCGTCATAACTAACACCGGTACCATCATTCCCACCAACACATCCAGAAGACCACCAAAGTTCTGTCATTTGTTTTTTCTCGCACTTCCTCTTGTGACATCAACAATGACGGTATTAATAAAAACAATAATAAAAAACAATACCGATCGGTTGATTGTGACATTCCAAAAAAAAAAAAAAAAAAAAAAAAAAAAAAAAAAA